AGAACTTTTGTTTTACAGGAGCAACATGGTAAACTCTAGACCATGTCCAAGTACAAATTGTTCTGCTTCAGAGAGACAGTAGTCTGAAAGATTAATAATGTGCTTTTAGTGTCACTCACCGAAACGTTTCTTAATAAGAATGTTTATGTTATGATCGTGTTTTGTTTTTGTCTGGTTTTCCATCCGTTCATCAATTTTGGAATTGTAGTGGCACAAGCGAATCATGTCGAAAAATGAAAGAATTTTTCTAATTTTTGACCACAGAATATTGTTTTTGGTTTTCTCGATTTCATCATTCAACATGCACCCACATCCATAAGAAATAAGAGTGTGAATGAAAATAATTTACCATGTCGCTCCTGTAAAACAAAAGTTCTACCACCAAAATATAAATCAGCAATTGGCCAGCATTTACTAGTGAACCCTACGTTGATCTGACTCATTTTATAAGCTGTACTATTTCCAATAGATCATTTTCCATACGGTTCTGCTATGATTAGTGTCTGGCGAAAAGCTTCAGCAGATATTTCCTTTGCAACGTCTCAACCAACAATTGGTCCAGTTATCAACGCTATTTTCAAGTTTTGAACAACTCGACTTTTAAGATCTACATATCTACATGTGCCGATGTTTCCGTTTATCAACGTTATATTTTATGATCTGTGCAAGAACTCAGCTAACAGATGTTTCCGCATATAAAAGCTATCTTCAAGTTATAATTATCTTGAAACTGAATATATCCTGCCTATAGGTTCAATACACGGTTCATATGTCATAATACCATTGGTTCTATTGATGAATAGTTAAGAGATCGATTACATCTACGATATTTTTTCATCATTTGTAATTAGATGTGATGAAAGCAATCACAACTTTTTGTCATTAAGTGAAACTTCGCTCAGTTCTGCCACAATTCAAAGTATGTTATTGAAGTTCTTTTCCTTATATTAAGTCAAAGGAACAAAACAAATACATCTAGAAAACTGAAAGCGTAATTCTTCAAGTTTCGCGATAAGAAAGCACTAACATTTCAGTTGTAAATTTTAGTTTAATTATGTACGTAAGTGTACTACGAGTGTTCAGATCGTGTAATACTCTAATAGGCACATTCTGCTACAATCAGTATCTGGAAAGGAATAGCTAAGTTCTTATACAGGAAACAATTATATGAATTCACTACTAATAAGGCTGGCATATTATATAATAACTGCGAGGAAACTTTTAAAATGGGAAACAAATGGAAAATTTTAATGTAATATGATATTTTAGCTCTTATATTTATTCACTTAATATATTTCAAATGTACTTATGATTTAAGTCCTACAAATTGGAACATTCAACTATGTTTTATAAACAAAAATAAGCTACTCTTATGTGCCCTAAAAGACAGACATTGATGTATTCGTCAATTTCATTTTAGTTTCTTGTGCCAACGTTGAAACGGAACTTGTCCAACTTTTTAATACCGTGAAATGATCTTCATTTAAAAAAAAAAAGTGGCAGCTATGAGCAAAGCTCTTGCAAGATATATTTTGTTTTATCTTGAAAGTTAAACTTTCAATGTTGAAATTTTCTACTGTCTATATGATAAACAACAGTTTCACAGTATACACTAACAATGTATGTTATACGTAACAATTTTCACAGTACGCACTAAAACGTAAGTGAAAAACAACTGTTCATTTTAAGTTTATTACGAGAATATTATTTAGTATATAATGTGTGAAAGTTAAAGCAAGTTATTTTTGGAAGCGATATTTATGATAAGCTACTTACGTAACTGTTTACAAAGCATTTCTTGTGTAGTTCAATTGTTTGGATTTGACGTCATGTTACTCAAACCTTCTGATCTTTTCTTGTTGTTTCATTGATTATTATTACATCATAACGTCTTCTAGTTTGTAGAAAGTTCTAGGCCTCAGTCGGGCAATACGTATATATAGGCGATCAAGTAAGTAAGTTAGTTAAAATGAAAGTAAGACAAAGTTTGTGAGAGATATAGTCGAATAGATCTAGACTATGTTTGTAAGTTTAGCCATAAAGAGTGTGTAGTGCGACGTTTAAAATGTAATAATTGCAGATTGTATTGTAATAACAGAGTAGAGAAGAATATTTCGTCTTGTCAATTGGGTTCTAAAATAACTGAAACCAGCCTGTGTGAAATTTTGAGATAAAAGAGAATTATTTAAAGGTTTGGATACAACTGTGGTAACCGCAGTTAATTGTAATAACTGAAATAACTGAAACCAGCCTGTGTGAATTCTGAGATAAAAGAGAATTACTTAAAGCTTTGGATACAACTGTGGTAACCAACAGTTAATTGCCATGATATTAAAGTGAGTATCATAGCTTTGTATTGTAATAACAAAGTAGTCGAAAATAATTTGTCTTGTCAAATGGTATTCTAAAGAAACTGAACCCGCCTCTGTGGACTTGATGAAATAGAGATAACTATTTAAACCTTTGGATACAACAGTGATAACCAATAGTGTAACGTTTGACTTGTTTTGAATATATTATTTTAAAACAAGTGGTTTGTGTGCTATCCTTTTACTGTTGAAATTTATCGCCATGAGGTTACAGACACCTACTGTAAAGTATCCTGCCCATACACATCCTTAAAAACCTTAGACACTCTAAAAACATATGTGATAAACAACAGTTTGACGGTACACTCCAAAAGCGTAAGTGATAAACAACAGTTTGACGGTACACTCTAAAAGCTTATGTAATAAACAAGAATTTGAAAGTACCCTCTGAAAACATTCGCTGATTTAACAATACACCGTTTTTTGGCAGAGGTGCTTTGTATGTGTATCTGAAACATTCTCTGTTATTTTAAAAAGGGTTTCTGCACACGTCACGCTAGCCAGGTACCGACTGGACTTTGAAAAGTGGATTTTCGTAAAAAGAGAAAGTTCTGGAAATTCTATGCTGTTCTACATGTAGCTTGTACCAAGGTATCTCATTTACATAGTGCAAAATACTCACTTTAGTAGCATGTTCGTGGTAATCATCATTATAGTTAAATTTAGTTTTGATAAGTTAGTGCTCTAATTTATTTATGTTTCATTACCAACAAGGTCCTTTGCTGTCGGTTAGACTTTTGATTCCTACTCCATTCTGTAGTTCTAAGGATTTTATATATCTTTATTTATTAATGTTATATAGCTTTGAATCCATTACATTTTCAAACGTATGAAATGTGTTATATAAATTATAGATTAATAACGCGTAATTTCCCATTTAAACATTGCAAGATTTCAACAGTGCAGTATCAAATTTCAGTAAGAAATGTGAAGTGTATTTAGTGAATCGTTAAGTATACTATTAAAGTTGACCTTCTGTTATTAAATGAATATTTTATCAATAAACGTACTCACAGTTCACATGTAACTTGATAGACACTGACATGGGTATGGTGAGATTCGTATTTACGGCTTTACAGGTGATGATAGCCTTTGAAAGGTACCGTTCTACAACCTTTATCTCAAGACTGTTCACCACAATGTTGTCTTTCAAAAGAAAGTAGCTATCGTCCATTAAAGCTGATCCTTTCCACCACGTCACAGAGGGCGGAGGGTTTCCTAAAGAGCAAATCTTTAGAATAAACGAGAAAAATCTTTAAATGAAAATCAACATCCAAATATCCCTTACAGGTGAACTCAGCCGCCTTTTCCATTTTGTCATCATAGAAAATATCTATTGAGGTAAAAAAAACTGAAATTTGTGTATCGTTTGGTTAGTTCAAGTTTAATGTATTCTTTCTAAAAGTGATTTTCAAAGCATTTTAATTTTCACCTGTACACAATGAAAAAAATCAAATCAAATCATATTTTACCTATGATAGGGTACACGAACTTTACATTACTCAGTTATGTTTGTATTGTCTTTACTGGACTACGATAAACCTAAAATAGATAATAAGTTTTACACTCTATTCATGACTGTTGATAATATCCTATTCATCTAAAGTATGATGTTTAACGATCGCTTCCTGTTGAAAAGTTACGAGTGTTTCTTTGTTATATAAACAATAAATATACGTATTCTTTGAAATACCTTACAAAAAGATTCTTACCGCCTATAGCTTCACAAGTTAGATTTAACGAGTCTCCTTCATTAATCGGACCAAGAACCGTATCCTGAAATTGTTTATCTCCAGTTTTAACGTATAGTTCTTGTGGAGGAACTATAGAAAGACAAAGCATATTAATGTTAACTTCCGATCAAGAAATGCTGTATAGTTAGAGCGAATCAAAGTGGCAATCAGTATAACTAAACAAGCATACGTTTCGTACATTTATTATTCTGGAAACATTGTTTCATAAGTAGGGTTCCCTCGTTGTTAACGATATTTTGGGCTGTAATAAGTTTTTTTAAGTTCGATGGTTCAGCTGCATCAAACGATTTTTATTGTTTTAATTATTGAAATATTTCATGTAGGTTACATAAGTAGCGTGTTCAGTTTATTGTGTGCTACAGAAACCTACTAATTTTATTTGTACACTTACTAACTGTTTTGCTGACGTTTTTAATTTTAAGACAAGCAATTATAAATTATTCCTCATTCCATTCGAGCAGTTATTTTCGTAAATTTGAATTATTTTGGCGTTTCGAGTATATGCATGCAGTTTCACTACAGTTCTCTTACAGACGTGATATTAAAATAATCTATGAATGTGACTCTGGTTGATTTATCTGTTGTTTTTAAGAGATGAACATTTATATAGCACACATTCAAATCTTAATTATTTAAACATTTGACCATTCGTAATGACGATTCTCTAAATAACAAGATCGATTAAAATGTTAGGATTGTATAAAAGGAAAATTGTAGCATATTGCATACGTCTTACTTGACATATGAATATGTCAACATATACTAACTGGATTTCCAATAAATATCCGAACCCGAAGATTTAATTTATATTATATTAAACTCGTTAAAGATTAACTGGACTATTATTAATACTTTGTCGAAAATATATGTCCAACAATGACTTTCTGATACATTCATGCTCAGTTCTGTGACACTGACAAAGAAAAATCGATAGGAGTCTTGAGTGTGGTGCTTTCTTTGGTGTGAGATTGTTTCAAACTGTTAAAGAAATCTGTACTGTAGACGCATGCTATTAATGTAAGTTCGCCTTTCGGAGCCATAGGATAGCATTGAGCCTACTCGTGAGGAAAATTGTTTATAGGCAAACTGCTCCTGAAGAAGAAAGGTCCACTGTTTTCCCCTGGAGAAGAAAGGTCCACCTTTCGAAAGCGCTCGAGATATAGAGTATCGTATTTTTGTGTTAAATTGTTTTCTTGAACGAACGAGTTTTTCTAAAATCATGAAAATTGTATATATATATGATATATCATATTGTTCCACGATTTTCATGAAAACTGGACTTGAATTTAGTATTTGTTTATGAATAGGATAGATTAAGGCAATGGACGACAGCGGAATTAAAATAAAATAACTTAATATTAATTAGAAATGCCAGTTATACAGGCTGGGAAGTGCTTGCTCACCAATGACGTTGACTTTAAGTTTTCTGTTTTGCGTTCTCCCTCGACGAAAGTCGACTCGGCATCGGTATTCGCCACTATCATCTGCTTTAATCTGTTGTATGAGCAGGAACGAGGACTTCGGGGATATGTTGAACTTTGCTCTAGAACCAAGAATGGCGGTAGAGAAATGTTTTCCTTCTTGAACTGGTTCGTTTCTTGCGTCCACTGTGTAAATGGGATTCCCGGAGTTTCCCTTATACCATAAGACAAGTGCTACGCTATCATCTGATGAAGGAGGTGTAATGTTGCAAGGCAATACCACTCTGTCTCCTACAACAGAGTAGTACTCAGCATATTCTAAAAAAAATAAAGTTATTCAGATTAGTTTTCCAACAGTGATTATTAGTATGAAAATTACATTGATGTTTACAACGCATATACGAGTGTAAATATGTTTTAACATAACATCCATTAATTAACAGAACAATGAGCAGTTTATTTTCTGAAGAAAATAGTTTTGTATTTTTGTAAAATTTATTGACCGAAAACAACATTGTTTTATCTTTAGATTACAATAACAATTTCTTACTATTATGTACGACATTATATACTTCTGATTCTCAGTAAAACTTAGATTATGTACGACATTATATACTTCTGATTCTTAGTAAAACTTAGCAATCAGTAATATTTTCTTACACTAATGAACTCTTAGAACTAATTTTGAAATATTTATGGAATCGTTAAACAACTTTACAAAGTACTGTTGCTTATTTTGTCCAATTAATTTGAATGTCAAATTATAGTACACTCCTTATTTTTAGAAAAACCCCCCGTGATAAATCTTCACGACAGACAAAAATAACATTTTACGGAACACTGAGTTTCATGTATAAACTAATGTTACATTTTGTGATAGCGATCTTTCACTCCCCTGGTGGAATTTCCCATAACAATGTCACACAGAAGGGAGATGAGAAGTGTTATCTTCTTGCAAACTTCTTACACCGAGCCATAGCCAATTTAGGTGGGCATCTTTCCTCATGCTTCAATAGAACGAGGAGGGTTAGAGCATGGCACAGTGGCAACTAAAGACGAACATTGTGTACTAACACTAAAATTGATCTTACCTGTCAAAAGCCTTAATACGTAGAATGAATGATGAGGTATAATCAAGCGAGTAATACATTGTCACGTACGCAATCTACCCTTTCTAAGCGATGTTTTGAACTCGTTTACACGATACCTAGTCCTAGAAATGTCATATAATTTTCAATAAAAATGCTTAGAAACAGAATTTTTTTCTGGAATGATACTTTTACAACTTACATTATATTATAAGTATGTTGTGAATGATAGCATTTAAAATAATATGGAACTACTGTACAGTAAACCTAGAGGCAAGTGGAACCTCACTTATAGTGCCTTGAAAGTAAAACAAGCATTTCGTTTGTACAGGGTGTCCCAAAAGTTGTTTACCATAGGACGAATGTCTATTCGTGTTTACAGAATATACTCAAAATGTCTGTCCTCAAAATCGATACACTACTGAAGACATTCAATCCAGATCACCTCAATATGTTCGTCAAAACGCAGTACCATATCGAAAAAATCTGCAACAAAAACAAGAAAGGAAATGTTACTTTCCTCAGTGTTACAGTAGCAACCGACTTTTGTTACGCCCTGTATTTCACCCATAGCCATTATGATTTTAGTAGAATGTTTTTAAAAACAGAAGAATTAAAAAAAAAATAGTCAAATCGGAATCAATATTTGTGAGTGTAAGGAATATAAAATTTTTACTTTTGTATTTTTTTTCGTTTGTTTGCAAATACTGCAAAATCAATTCAAATCGTGGGAACTGGTTGATGTCGAGAGTTTACAGTTCTTCATACCATTAAAAGAAGTAAGAGCAAATGATTTGCACATTAATATCACTTGTAGATGCTAAATTTCGTGTTAGTGTACATTTAATGTATACATGTATATATATTGCTACCGAAGTTTCGCTAAGCGCTAAAACAACAAGAGTGAAACGGTGAAGGATAACAATTGAGAAATAATAGCAAAATTGCCAAAATACGTTCCTCTGCTCTCAAGCAGAATAAATTGATAATTCATAGGCTTTGGACTACTAGCCTATTACAACAATATAATGTTATTAAATTATTATATCAAAAGATAAGTATGTTTTGTTTTATTAATAGCAAATTTTATGGTTATGTAAGAACACTTAAAATAATTTAAAACATCTATGAGTACAATTATTATTATTATATGGTTTTAATGATGTGTTTGATTCCGTCACTACTGTTGTATCGTAAACATTACTCTATCATATTCTACTGAAAACAGAAACCCCGTGAAATTTACCTTTTAAATTTCAAAGGTACTAAACGCGATTTTGTATGAACAACGAATATCGTAACTTTTACGGTTGTTGTTAATAATTTTTCAGCTATAGGTTTGTTTTATATTAATTTTATTAAAAATATCTATAGGCTTGTTTTATATTAATTTTATTTAAAAAATATCTATAGGCTTGTTTTATATTAAATTTTATTAAAAATAGCTATAGATTTGTTTTATATTAATTTTATTAAAAATAGCTATAGGTTTGTTTTATATTAATTTTATTTAAAAAATATCTGGAGGCTTGTTTTATATTAAAGTTTATTTTAAAAAATACCATTTTTCTAAATTAATGTTTTATACTATCTTCTTTTATTGTTAGATGTTTTCATTGGGGCAAGAAATGACTAGAAAACACAAAAAAGGAGAAAAAAATCTGTTTAGGATAATCAAGATTTATTTTAACCTAGCTGGAGTACTAGTCCCCTGGACGGAAGTTATGTAAATTCATAATTAATGAAAGGTTAGGTTAGACTTAGGTTAGGTCTTACGACATGAAAATTTGCTTCCCTTATATGTAATTGTAAAAAACGCCCATAGATACTGCAAAACACAAAATGTGAAACTGCAAATTTACATATATCTAAGCATGGACCCAATAAACGTTCATGTCAAATTTGGTGAAGAATCATCAACAGGGGGCAAAGTAGTGGAAAAAATGCAAAAACGTCCATAAAAACCGCAAAACGCAAAACTGATTTTTTTTTGTCCGCATGTACCAAATGAACCTTCATACCAATTTTGGTGAAGAGTCATTTACACCCTGCGAAGAAGTTACATGGACATACAACAGACAGTATTATTATACTTATATAGATTATTACAAAACTAACGTATACCCTAATCTCACATTTAATAGCTAACTGAAATAAATAACAATAAGAAAACAAGCTTGACCAACAAAGAAGCAGAAAAGTGCAGTCGAGGCAGTCAAGCTTCGGTAAATTCCTTTGTGAACCAATCAAAATTAAGATCATTCGTGAAATGAATTCGTGGCGTATTCATAGAATAATTATTGGTAAAATTCAGTTAGATTAACAACTTTTAATACATAGAAAAACCAGTGTGTTTTGGTAGCACGACGATCTTAGCAACAAAAGTAGAACCTAATATTGTTGTTAGTTTATGTACTGAAAGTATAGACAATAAAACTGGAAAAATATATGTTGATTTCTTGATTTAAAATCTCCTTTGATTAAAGAGGTTTGCTTTATATTAAAAACGTTGGTAATATAATAGAAAAAAAGCTCTATTTAAAAACTATTTAAGTTTAAATTTAGATCGATATTTTTACTTTCATGATAAATTTTATGCACTTGGCTCTAGGCTAGGTGATCCTACACTACGTCTTTACATTAGGCATATTATACCAACACTCATTACACATATAAGGCTTCACGGCACTCCTTCATGGGCCTCTTGCACTCCCGTCAATAAAATTGCAATGGGCAGACAGTAATCGAACTATTCTATCTGCATTTTGGCTTTTATGATTTCTTCTATTTCGAGAAATCAAGCGTGACGTGACATGACACTCACTGGCTCTTATATAGGTTAGATACGTGCAATATGGCAAAATATTCTTCAAACACGTAAACCTATATTTAGAGTTTATTCCCAAAACTTCTTCGAAGAACAACTAGGAAACTGAAGCTTGTAGTTATAAATTACAAGTAGGAAACAACTCATACATGAAAAAGTGATTAAGCGTATGGTATATAAAAATGACAATTGGGAAATCGTATTGGTAACGTTAAGCCTTTTGTATCATCAGAAAAGGTAACTAATATTTAATACACTTACATTGCACATGTATCTGTATTTTATATCCTTTTTCTTAATATTTGTCTCGAGTATTTTATTATTTTTGATTATATTTTAATCCTACAATAACTTTCTTTGTGACATGTTGAGACCATAAGCTTAACTCCATCAATCTGCGTATAATACATTCTTTAAAAATATTCAAGGTTTATGGTTATTAAAATCACTTGGTGATAAGCAGCAGTACACTGTATTATATTTAATTTTACTCGTTCAACACCTTCATAAGTCACATAGTTAAATTGTTTAAAGCATCTGTTTGTATTCCAAAGCGATAGGCAAGAAATAAAACCTATTCCTAAAAATGTCCTCAATGCCATAGCATACTCACCACATACTTGCTACTACTTACAATTCTTCACAGTCACTAAAAACCTGTAAATCTTTAAATATACGAAGCAACTGAAACGATAAATTGCCTTCGTACGTTTATAAATCTTCAGATTAAAACTACTTGTCTCTACGTACATATGAACACTTCTGACTACGCATATGTCCACAAACAGATTCAGTCGCACTTTTTCAAATATCAAACATCTCCAAAAGTCTTAAAATACAAACACAAATGCACATTTAAATTTTTGTTTTCAGTTATTATATTTTAGGTATATGACGTAAAAATTAATATGTATATCACTTTATGGCCTTATGGCACTGTAAGTAAAAATATCTTTAGAGGTTTTTCTGCAAAAATAAAGATTTTTGTGAATATTCTGTTATCATATATGTTAATTTAATGAATAAATATATGAATTAATATTGTAATAGTTACGTTTTTGAAGTAAAACCGGAGTTGGCAAAAGCTTTATACACATTGTTATCGTAATGGATAAAATTACATTATAAGAACACTTTCAAATGATAGCATAATAAGGATTTTAAAAGCGTTTCGAACAATTAATTAAAACTTTACACAGGTATTTACATATTCCAAATCTTATTGAATTGACAAAAGAAAGAGCTTTAAATGCTCGTACATAATTATAAATCCTTTAGAACTTCATAAACATTTCATATCAATAAGAAGTTTCTTATTTCACTGAAACATTTTCTGACACTTAGAATCACCTTAAGACGTTCATAATCACTTTAAAACTTCATAAACGTCATTATACAACGTACAAGACTGTTACACTATTGTAACAAGCTTAAAACGTTAAACTACCTTTTGAAACCTTCTGACAATCGCCTTGAAACATATCAAGAGATCTTTACATCAACAAAAATATTTAGTAACATACAAGCACATCTTTAACTACACACAAATTTCCTGAAGCATATGAAGACATCTTTAAATTTACAGAATTCTTTTCTTCAACTGCTTATGTTTGCCTTCTAATTTCACATAGAATTTCATGGCGTAAGTGTGCTTAATGTTTTATGAATATGTTTTGTTTGGTGACTAGTGAGAATTTCAGTTCGGAGACTGTCTATAATATTTACAGATAATGTTGTGTAATCTTCAACAAGAACTAAACTTATTATTTGTCAAGATCTGCTTAAATGAGATTTGTCATAGTGGATCGTAAAAAATATATCACTAATCAGAAATATACGTAGAACATAACACATCATACCTGTTTGATCATCAAGTATATGAACAGGTTTTAATTTTATCCCTGGAACTCCTGAGAAGCATGAAAGAAAATGGAAAATATTCTACAGTAAGTAAGAAAGAATATGATATAAAAAATGACTTACCTTCAGAAATAAGTTTTAAGAATGAAACGTTGTAAAAATAGACTGGGAAATACAAAGAATAGTGCACATAGAATGAATTTAGTTTATAGCTGAAACGCTAGTTAGAAATACAATGGATTAGCAGTGTGGTAGTTGATGCTGGGTAGTTTTCAGTACATAATATCAAGAACTAGATACTTGACACAAACAGATGATCTCTAGATAAGAGCGTCTAAGCAAGTATATTACTTTATGTTATAAGACAAAGGAAATCTTGTACCTTGAAACTAACAACTACACCAGATTATAGCTATTAGCCCTAACTTATGTAACGAGTTATGCAGCAATATCCTCTCTTTCAAATGAAAATCATACAATATTTATTATCATAAGGATTTATCATACCCAGGTTTAGAAAATATTTTGTTCATTTTAGAGTATTTCAATCGAGCCATCTTTTATTTTGATCTTATTATCAATATCTTAGCGCCTATATTTTATTTTATTGTAGTTAATAAGATAAGATAGGTCAAATGTGCAACACTTTAATTTTATCAATTGACGTTTCTTGAAAAAAGGAAGGTATTTGAAACATTGAATATCTTATCGAAACGTTCACAAAAGGAGCTTTTAAAATGAAAATAATTTATTGATCTGTTTTTAACTTAGCGATTTTTTTCCCACTAATATCAGATTTAATTATGTCTTATTTTTGTGATTTAAAAAAGGAAACTTGATTCAATGTTATTTTCTGATTATTTTAACATTTTACTGATTAAAAATTAAAATATTTAGATAGGTTTTAGTTGCAAAATAAAGAAAAGGCTCAGATTTAGAAATATATTTTAAAATAGTTGAAACGTTCATGTACGTGTATTACTCATTGTTGCTTATATAAGAATGAAATATTTTTTGCAGTATTATTAAAACTGGATATCAAATGCGCAGCTTATTTCTTATTCAATGTGAAGACACAATTTGCTGCCCGATGTAAAAATGACACATGAATCATTTTGATTTCCGTGTCCGTTTTCCAAATTATCTATGCCTGTTTGAAAGATAATGTCACTATCAATAAGAACGCTTACATGAGTCGGTCAAAAACACTTCATACATTGTAGTTGGGTTACATTTACGTATATGTCATCTAAAACTGTTTTCTAAGTACGCGGTTGATTTCTCAGTGTTAAATACCGCTGTAGAATTAACCTTCACAGAATTAAAGGAGGTATCTTTAAAATAAGTGGTATAATACTTTGAGGTGGTATCTTTTATGTGGATATTATACAAGAAACACGTTAATATTTGGGGCATATCTCGACCCAATGGTTAGCGTGCCACACCGACGATATGGAGTTCTATTTTTCGCGGCCCGTTACCCCCAAAATAAAAACGAATAAATCGCTTTCTGCACTTGGGTTTGTTTGTTTTTTTTAATTTCGCGTAAAGCTACACGAGGGCTATCTGCTCTAGCCGTCCCTAAGACTAGAGGGAAGGCAGGTAGTCATCACCACCCACCGCCAACTCTTGGGCTACTCTTTTACCAACGAATAGTGGGATTGACCGTCACATTATAACACCCCCACGGCTAAAAGGGCGAGCATGTTTGGTGGGACGGGGATTCGAACCTGCGACCCTGAGATTGCGAGTCGAGCGCCTTATCCACCTGGCCATGCCGGGCACCTGCACTTGGGACCGTAAGTTTTTTGTAAGAATAACGAGTAAGTTATATTATTCGATCTGACAAGATTAGCCGAAGAGCTGACAGTGGATGATGTTGATTAGTAGCCTTTCTCCTAGCCAATTGTTTCAAACTTAGGGAGGGTTAGAGCAGATTAAATCGTGTAGTTTTGGGTTAAATTCAAAAATCAAACAACAGCTAACTTTTACAGAATAACGTAAACAGATACTTGGTAAATTAATATTAAATTTCTTAGTTAATTACTATTATATTTTCGAAAATATATATATTTGATTAATGTAAATAAAATTTAAATATCTTTGTATAACCTTCTGACACTTTTTTTCGAAAACGTAAAACACGCCATATTGTTCGAGAACAAAAACAATGTTACACTTTACAACGATGGATGAAAACAAGCTAATTTTGTGAATCAATTATGACTCTGTGTGCTTAAAAAGTGCTGATTAAATATAATACAAAAGTTAAATCTATACATCAAAAGTTGTCGTACAAATGGTGAACGATGTTGTTATAAACGTTTGCAAACAAGTCTAAAGCTAAGTCTCTACAGATTTATTGTAATTATAATTTTGGCAAAGAGTTTAAACAAATTCACTGATCTCCCACTTGTCGGGACATGTGATTATGCAGTGTTATGATCATATCCATATTTCATAGTATTTACTACCATCTTTCCTTATGAAAAATGTATTTATTCCGTAACGTTTCAAAATGCATAAAGACTAAATAATATAACCACCAAACTGTTTTCATGTCATAAAATGATAAGAGGAATATAATAATATTTATAATAATAATAATATAATATAATGTTAAGCAATTAGATAGTATGGATGCAGTTTAGGGTTGTAGCTAGAAACATATAGTAGATAGAATAATTATATTTATTACTTAATATAATTTTTATTTTCTTAATTTTTATACAACAAAATATTAGGTAAATCAGCTTAATTAGTTATGTTTCAAATACCTCTATTGATTTATTTCAAGGACTGTAAAAATAGTTTATTTGTTGTTGTTTTTTTCATTTACGCCTGCTCGCAACTTTTCTGCAGCCAAACATCGATTGCAAGTTTGTTTGTTTGTTTGGAGTTAAGCACAAACCTACTGTAACGAATTTGTTGTTATGTATTTATTTGAATATGAACGTTGTTTAGACTAAGTTTATATTTAAAAACATGTATAGCTTGTAGTGTTAGATATGTATTGCGAAACTACCGCCTATTCTTCAAAGTTGAAGAAGATTCTCGAGATTAAGAATCAACAATATATCTATATAAGAATACGTTTAAATAAAGCTCAGTATTGTTATGTAATCTGAATTTTCTAGAATACCTTCCCACACCTATAAATACAACCAACGCGACGCGCTAAAAGAGAAGTATCTATTATTAGTTCGCTATAATCAGTGTGCTATAAAGTTCGGAAGCTATAACTGCGATTGTTATAACGCTTATCAATCGGAAAACTTCAGATATTTGACCAGGAATATTTATAAATTTCGAACATTACAAACCATTTAACTTCAGC